GGGAGGAGAGGAGAGATGGGTGGGAGAGAAGAGAAAGAAGAGAGAGTGATATTGGGGAGGGGGAGAGAGAGAGGCGAGAGACACCAGGAACACTTGAGCACCATCAGGTATCAGATCTGACTAGTTAAAATGTAAACAATAAGAGTGTAAAGACTATTAATTACTGTGGATAACAGGCACAATTCATACAACAATTAATTGCTGAAATATTGTAATTTGATACCTGAAATGAGAGAGAAAAAGAGAGAGAGAGACTACGGGAGTACAAAGTGAAATAGTCATTGACATTAAAAAATTAAAATAAATAAATGAGTGTGGGGGGGGGGCAGAGAGAAGTGGAGAGGTGCTCAGTGGATGATGGGAGTTCTCCCAGCAGTCTAGACCTATAGCAGCATAACTAAGGGATGGCTCATGACTCACCTGATCCAGAACTAACTATAGGCTTTATCAAAAAGGAACAGTGACCTAATTAAATGGAAAGACATCCAAGCAGCTTTTCATGGTAAAGCTGCTGACGTCAAGACCTTGTCATCAACCTCTAAATCGATTTCCCCTTTTCAAAGTAAGAAACTTAAAAGCAGCTTTGTCTTTCGACAACTTAAACTTTGACTATAGTGGTACAGTTCACTCTCTTAATATTATAATAATAGATTACAAATATTCCAACCTATTTTGCACCCCTTACATTTCTTTATTGTTGTTTATTGACTTTGAGTCCTATTTAAAGGCATTTATCATGTTTGCTGTCATTTGAATGTCTTGTGCTGTATACACCAAGTGATATATAGGCCTATTGCAGCCTTACAATCATAAATACAGTGACTTTGACCAAAAGTGTGTCACAGTGTCTCACACAGTCTCATATCTGTCCCTGTGTACTTCTGCTTTTGGTTGAAAATAGGGATGACTGTGAAATGACTAATGACGTGGTTTGTTTTCCTGTTTTAGCCGTATTTAAGGCATCTGCAGACCACATTCACAAGACTGCAGGCCCTGATGCACAACAGGTTTGTACTTGAATTTCAATGTACAGTAGTGTCTCCTTTAATATCCAAGATGCTTCTCTCATGGATAACAATAAAACAGAGTCTGGCAGATTTTGGTTTTCTGGTCGTGGATGTTTTCACAGCTGGAAAAAGGGACGGATTTCAAAGAACTCTCATCCTCCTCCTGACCTGCAGCTCCTCCAGCCTTCTGCTCAGCTCCCTGCTCTTCCTGTACCTGCTCTACACCCTGGACTATGACACAGCAGTGGCCGGAGGGATTACGGGCTGCTTTGGGACATTGCTTACCATCGCTCTCTTCTTATCAAAGAGAATAAGATGCTTAGGGACTCTCTTTGTGATCTCTATTTTCATGAAGAAGAGTCGGAGCTTGCTGCTAACTGCTGGGACCAGTTTGATAGTTCTTAAAAACATCCGTAACACCTTGGAAAACCTCACAGGCCTCCTCAGGAGCATGG